TAATGTCTGTATATATATATATATATATATATATATATAGTTATATCGGCATTACCCGTTAGATTTTGTCAACACAATTTTGACTTCTTAGCCTGTCAAAATCTTTAATAAATGCAAATCTTATCATCTGACCTATTCCGCGAGTCGTGCGAATCTCCACCACCAATGAGTCAACAAAAGTCACGCACTAGTGGGGTGACTCTCCGTGCAATCAAATGAAGAGTCACCTCACACGAGGCGACCACCGTCACCCCACTAGCGACAGAGAGCCATACTACTCGCAGAACAGGCCTGCAGGTGACGTTTAAAGCTCCACAATTTTACTGAAAATCTAAGAAAATTATTAAACAGGATTTAATAATATAACTGTAGAGCACAAGCAGTTTAAATATACTGAGGACGTGTTGCCAAAATCGAACGGATACTTCATATGTTTATTAATTTATCTTACCTTGATGGACCAACTACTTACCTGTCCTTAATGGTCATCAGCTCCAATCGGTATTTCCCGGTAAATCCGATCACGATCCTTTACAACATTTGGCCGACCTAGTTGGAGGTTACCACCCTACACCAACGCGCATCATCGCAACCACTCAGCACTTTCTTCCTTTTCTCTAAATTGAAGGGATTCTAGGGAAACTATTTTCTTGCGGACCGCGTTGCGGTCGGACTTCACTGTTCTTCTCCTTCTTTTTCTCTTTTAACCCCTACTACGAGAAGATGAAACACCTATGTGGCACTCACTCTCCTACTATCGGTTGTCGCTGCATTAAAACCGCTGCCTCTCTCTTTCACCGTTTTCTTTTTGCTTCTCTTTCTACTCTCTTCGTCTCACTGAATTTCACCGCCGCTTTACTCTGTATTCCTTTAGGGTGCTCACTCACACACTACTGCCCGCATAAATCACAACCATACGGTTACCACATTGAAAATGGTTTATCTTCCTGTGAAAACCATAATGAGAATGGTTTAGTCAACTTTAATCGAACCATACCTAGGTAAAGTTTTGACCATATTGATTAAGGTTTTCGAAGACCTAACCATACGAATAATGGGTGGTTAAGAACGTTCACCATACGAAATCTCACTTTTTGCCATACATTTTTTGCAAAGAAACTATAGCCTAACCACATCAGAAAACGTTCAAGTTGGAAATATGAAACCTATTTCCATTAACGTTCGAATAAGGCAGTACCAACAATCAATACGAAACTAACGATTTTAAATTGGCTCACTACTTGACTAGCCTATTGGTCCCAAGCAAACGATTAACGTCCCCATTCTAGTCGAAATTCTAGTACTACGCAATGTTTGTTTTGATTCGCTATGAAAATTTGACAGATAAAATGAGGGGTTATCTAGGGGGTTATTGGTTTTTCCTATGTTTCGAGGGGTGAATCGATTAGCTTGGGACCGAAGAGAGTACCAGAGCTGAGCCAAAAAGTTGAGCACGTTATTTCGGGACCTTCTAGTCTTAGAGTTACCTCTATGGAAGTACCATAGAGGTAACTCTACACAGAAAAAAAAGTTGTTGAATATTACATCCAAACTGATGCAACCAGGTCAATCCATCGGTTGTGTAATATAACCATAGAGGTAACTCTAAGACTAGTAGGTCCCGCAGAAACGTGCTCAACTTTTTGGCTCAGCTCTGGTACTATCTTCGGTCCCAAGCTAATCGATTCACCCATCGGAACATAGGAAAACCCAACAAACAATTTGAGTTGATCAACAGCTGAATAAGCTATTTTTTAGCTGAAGAAGCTTATTTTTGTCTGAATAAGCTCTTATTCAACATTCAATGTTTGTTGGGAATCCACTAACTCCTCATTTTATCTGTCAAACTTTCATAGCGAATCAAAACAAACATAGTGTAGTACTGGAATTTATACTAGAATGGGATACGTTAATCGTTTGCTTGGGACCAATAGGCTAGTCAAGTAGTGAGCCAATTTCAAATCATTAGTTTCGTATTGATTGTTGGTATTACTTACGGTATTCATTTTCTCAACAATAAAACAGGTTTTCCATTTGGAGTAAAGTTTTAAAAATAAAATAATAAAGCAAAAAAAAAAACCGTGAACTCATGGCCGCCGTTCCAAAGAAAAGCATTTTCCTCTGTTTGTGCCAGTTGTAAAAATATAAATGCAACCATAAGCGAAACACGTAAGCAGTGTACAAGTTGTATACGTAATGTTTTGAAACAGTTCAATATAGTTTCGTAAAGTTGATTAACCGTAACAAAATGTAGCTGGAACATACCAGAAACTGTAACATTAGAAAGTAATGTTTCTTTTCTGTTTATTACATTCCATAAACCATAACAAAACTATTTTGTATAAAGTTAACATAGCTAGTAAGGTTCCAGTGAAGTTTGAACTGTTCTAGAAATGGTTCTTTTCTATGCGGGTGTTTGCCGCTATATTTTTGGCTTTTTATTTTCCCGTACTATCAGCTTCTTCTTTTCTTCCTCTTTCCTGCCTTCTCGCACTCGAATTTATCGCTACCGTTCGGCGTGGAATCCACAATTTCCACTCTTAAACGCAACTCCCCTTGCGCTCCCCTCGCACACATATACACACTGGGCCTTCCCGCATAGACCTTCGCCCCTTCAGCAGCAATCCTGCCAAAAGCAGTCTCAATCACGCTTTTTCTTTCTTCTTCTATCACCGCCACCGATTAAAACCGTCACGCAAATTATAGCGCATCACCTGCGGATGTTAACCACCACCTTATCTTCGTATCACTCCACCAATCCGCCTCCTAATCCGTATTACCGGACCAGCCTTCCGTCGAACACTTTCCTCGAACCAGCAACAGCACTGAACGGAGCAGAAAACAGCACACACGTCCGACTCAGTCGGTAGTCACTCACGCAATGGCTACTCAACACCGTACACATATGCTATTAAACGACATATGAGTAGTCTAGGATGTCCAATAGAGGGCAGCTTGCTAAGAAAATTTAGAATCAGACCAACGAGAACCAGCCAAAAGGATGCTATTGGCAGCGAAACTCGTAAAAGTGAAATATTGTATAAATGCCAAAATTGCGAGAAATCTTTCTGTACTACAGCGAGCCTTCGAAGGCACACGGAATCGGAAATGTCACGTGCGTTGGAAAAACAGGAGGCAAGAGACCCGGGGAAGAAAGTTGCCGGATCCGTGCAAAAGCAGTACACATGCTGTTGGTGTAAAGCGATCACCGATGATAGCAACCATCTGGTGCAGTGCATGGTCAAAGCCGAAAATGTTCACACAAATGTTCCAACTGCGACAAAAAGTTTAAAAAGTACAACAAGTTTTTAGAACACAGGGACAGTAAAGTCTGCTTACAGAAGAGTTGGATGACCTGCAAGCCCTGTGGAGTGAAGTTTCCGACTAGAAAGAAGCTGGTAAAGCACATGACAAACATGCACCACAAAATCAAAGCCAAACGCGTTCCCAAAATTAAGGTTCATGAGTGCAAGGTTTGCCAGCGCCAGTTCGTTAGGGCCTACACGCTCAACAGACACCGGAAGAGTCTACACAACGTAGAAGAGACTTGCGGCGAGACTGATTTGTAATTTGTTGTTTTATTGGTTACCATGCTTAGTATAAACTGTGTATCAGCTCAGTGGTGCCTGTTTTTTTTTGTCGTGGAACAATATTTTGAAAATTTTTCTTCTAGAACCTCGAGAAAATAGAGCCATATTCATGCTAAGCTAGAAAACCCTGGAATTAATTGCCTCATTTTTTTTATCAAATCGCTAGTAGAAGATCGTCTCAAAACTACTCGATGAAATGATTAAGTAATCGATTAATAGCTAAAGGAATTCCTTATTTTCATTCGCAACGTTCGATTATCTTTCTCATCCAAAAAATGAATGTTCATATTTGAACTAAGGACGTATTCAAAATATGGATGGTTATATATCAGACTGATGCAAAATTTGAAATTTTTGCTCCACAGTGCTCAAACGGTTCCAAATTGGGCCCTGATTAGCCTCCTAAAGCTTGAACTCATTTAGTGAGAAACTGACTTGGCACAAACCATTTCAAGTTTTTATGGAAATTACTATGGAGAAACCATAATTTCGGTTCATATCTATCTCAAAATTCACCAGTTATGCGAGGTAGGCGACGATTGATCGTATTTGACAGCCACCTCCCCCCCCCTTGTAAAGATCCCGTTAAGGGCCACGCACAATGGAAATGGATACGTTGAGTTTGTGTGCATCGATTTAACAGTCAACCCATCTGTCAAATTTACGACAACGCATCGCAAACAGATCCATTGTGCGTGACCCTTTCCCTGTACATATTCATAGTTTCTTGTATGGCAGTGTACATACATGCCGGGCGTATATAGAAGTTCAGGTTTAAATGTATGCATACATCTAGGCGTCAATTGAAAACACTCTCTTTGAGATATTCGCCTGAATGTATGCATATATCCAGACACTAGCTGAGTGTGCCCGGTCTTGCTCGGGATTCAATATTAGCTTGAGTTTATGTGCCGATTTAAAAAAAAGCATGCTATATTGTACGTAGCCCCCCCCCCCCCCCTATTATCTAAGGGGCTACCCCCTATGATTATCTCTTTATACCCCCACACTCGCCCCCACATGCCTAATTTGGTTCCATTTGCTTGATTAGTTCTCGAGTTATGCAGAAATTTCTGTTTCATTTGTATGGGAGCCCCCCCTTACAGAAGGGGGAGGGGTCTCGAACCATCATAAGAATATAAACATCATAATATAATAATCAGATTTTTAGACCCCTAACAATCATATCGATTGATCGATGTCAAATATTCTAAAACATCGATTATTTGGCATAAACTATTCGATATAAAAATCATCGATTTTGGTTCATTAAGCGATTAATCGAAAAAAAAATTGGACATCGGTGAGACGTCTAAATCGATGGTGCTTTAGATAAACATTTAAAGTTTTAACCTACTTAAAATAAACTGGGAGGTTCGGTTGTTTCGCTACAAATATTCTACGAGCAAGTTTCATGAAAGAAATATGCCCCTATATTTTACCATTATGAATGAGCACTAACCTGGCTCCCTCACAGGGTGGTAGAACCATAGCAGTACACCTTCCTGGGGCGACGCTGGTTTGTATCCGGGGCCAGCAGTCTTCTCCGAGCAATCACTACTTTCGCCTGAAAGTTCCGCAACAAACCGTCGTTCTGCTTCAGTGCCGCTGGTTGATGAAAGCTATTGCCATCGTGATTAACCTGCATGCCAATGTACGACGAGGTCGACGGCAAGGACCGACCATTAGTAAAGCGAGTTTTGTTCGACTTGAGGCCCACCGGTCGACAGCCGGCAAAGCGGAAATTGAACCGAGGCGAGGGATGATGATGGCTGCTTGGGGCGAGCTGATTGTCGATTCGTTCGGGGAAAAAGTCATGGACCGTTGGCGGTGGTTTCAAGTGGCATGGTTTGGGATGCACCTTGAGCAGCACCTTTGGGGCTATTTTGTAGCATTGCTTACCTTGATTCGCTCTCTCCCGTAAACGATGGAACGTTTGGTGCTTGCTCTCGATGTACTCTGGGGAAAATGGTACAACAGGATTAATGCGGTTCGTTATTTGTTATTATTACAAAAAAAATGGGATACCCACGTTCATACTGAAACATGAAAGGAAGCAGTCCAATTCCGCAGATTTCGCTGAGGTACTCATAGAGAAAGATGTCACTTCTACCCTGAAGGAACAGTCCAGCGTTCTACGAAAAAAAAAAAAATCGGTTTAAAAGTTGACCATCCATCATGCAGCATAGATCACACTCACATTCAGGTAAGGGTTCACAAATTCCGGCACATGTTCCGGATCAATTTTTTCAAAGTACGGTATCATTTCGCGGAAGGAAAACTCTCCGACCGACCATAATCCACGCAAAATACGCGACAACCAATGGTAGTCGATCGAGTTAGGCTTTCTATCTTCGCCAAAATACCGTTGCAGTCGTTCCACCAGCAGAAACGTGCACTCCTGCTCCAGGAAGCCCCACTTGCTCGAGCAAAGCCCAATGATCCGACTAACCTCGTCCACCAGATAATCGGCACAAATCAGTGTGGTGATGTTCTCACTCTCCAGCGTAGTCGAATTGGGATTTATCACTTCACCATTGGTGCTTTCCGACATCTGCAGGCTTACATTGTCATCGGGGTCTTCCAGCACAGCCGGTTCTTGCTTCAACTTGTCAACGATTTCCGGTTTAACGTCGAAAGTCATCTCCGAGTCACCCAGGATTGGCGGCGGTTGCTGAACCATGAAGTTTTGTGTCGAAGCATCAAAGTCGTTGTTGAACTCGGTCTTGATCTGGAAGCCATCGGTTCCGGTTATATTATCCTGATCTTCTTCAACCTCCTGCTTTCCTAGTCCTTGAACCATTGAGAATAGCGCTTCGTACTCATCTTTGATGTTGTTGATGTCGATTCCATCTGGACCTTCCTTAATGTTTTCGATACTACGAAGCAGTTCCTCCGTGGTATTAGAATTGGAATTGTTGGAATCCTCCGAAGGACCAGCCAAATTGTTGTCCAAGATGTTCATGGGAAGTGTCGAGTGACCAAATCCCGAATGCAACTGATCGATGTTACCCTGCGGAGAAGGTTCCGTACCATTTTGATTGATTGATAGCGGTTGCTGATGCTGGGAAGTTTGCGATTGTGGTTGCAAATCGAGATTCAATGACGGAGCAACGATGAACTTGCTTTGCATGAAACTGGCTGCACCCAGCAGAAGGTTGACGAAAATTTGACTGAGCAAACTGAGTTCCAGTGTCAGATCTGAATGGGAAATGTGATAGTTTCGCACCAGTGCTTCCAAGAACTGCAGCGATCGAACCAAGGTGCACTCCGTGTACTCGAAGCCCAGCATTTCGATTACCTTTGTCAGCAGCAGTTTCATCAACGAGGGAACGTGGGCATTACTGGACAGTATTTCAATTGCCTCCTCGAAGCACTTGTCATCGCCCAGATAGACAGCATCGCACACATTGTTGTACAGTTCGATCAGATCTTCGGCTATGGCCGATTCTGCCATCCAGGATGTCGTTAACACCGGTATGTTACTTTGTTCCATCGTTACATCCTTGATGTATTCCTCACGAAGGTCCAGGACTTCATCGGAATTGAAAAAGTAAACGCCATCGTACTCGATCTTGTCCCACGGTTCGTTATTGGCACCCACAATCGGTGGAATGTCGCAATCCTTCAGCACCTCATTCACAAGATCATACGTCACCCGGCCGCTCGAGTGGCGAGTGTAAGTTTTAATACTCTACGATTAAAGATACAAAAAAAATTGAAAATCATGCCCATTGCATATCATATTCCAGCACCCTTACGTTTGCCAGTTCCCACAGTTTATAAGTCGTGTCCTCTGCCAGTTTATTGTAAACCTCTGGAGTCACTTCCGTCTCCTGTTTATCATGCTGTTCCCAAATTGTCCTCACCGAACGGGAACTAAATCCAGCGTATGACTTATAAGATCCCTAAAAACAAAACCTTCATCATACATTCATCCACCGCAAACTCATCCAACTAAACGCACCTTATCTTTTCCGGCGGCGCTGGAATTGGCATCGTTACCCGACGAATTGGTATCGCTTCCACCAGCGGTAGTTGCAGCACCGACGATGGATCGCAACTGCTGGTGTGATTGATGATGGTGATGATGATGCTGTTGGGCCATCTGTCCCAGGCCACCACCGCCAGAAGTGCTGTTATTGCCGATGTTGTTGGAATTGCTGACTGCATTAGATGCAGCCGCAGACGAAGATGCTGAACCGCTGCTGGAGGACTTCGTCCGATGCTTCAGCTTGGAGGAAACGGATTTTTTCGGGCTAGGCTTCATGATAGAGGCGATTTTTTACCCAAAACTTTTCATTTGTAAATTTTGTGAGCGATATCGGGGAAAATTAATTTTGTTTTAGTGAATTGATGTAAACAAAATCGAACTGTCACTTTATGCAGCACACCATCCATCCACTTTCTGGCAACTTTCGAGCACTGACTATCATACATATAGGATTGGGAGTTCTTGTATAAATTTGACGGATCGGATCGCTATTTCAAATCTGAGTAGAACCCACCCAGATTGGTCAAAACTACACGAGCCTATATTAGGTGATATTGAATATCTTGATATCACACGCCATGCATATTATTTCCAGTGAAAACTAAATGACGTATTATAGGTTGTAGTGTGAATGGGGTATAGTTCTACGCACGGAAACCACAAAATACGCAAAAATGGCTATAAGGGACTCAATTTTGACTATAAAGTTTGCATATACGGCTAAAACGGGACTACACCATGGTTGTGTGTATTTTTTAAACCTTTTATGAGTTTCTGTTACTCATACATGCATAAATTGTAGTCATTTTTATACTATAAATTACTCATAAATGTGTAAAATTTTAGTCATTTTATGGGTAGTCCGATTTTCTTTCAAAAATGCGTGCTTTATAGTCATAAAAGAATTTTTTTTTTGGATTACCTTGCGTGGGTTGGTTTCGCATTAATCACAAATCAGTGCTAACATTTGAAAACGGCACAAAAGCCATTTGTAAACAAATGGTTTGTGGGCCCTTTACTCACTACTTGAAGTACACCCACGCGACACAACAGCAACATCGGGTAGGGGAAATTTTCCCCTTCCTGACGATGCTGTTGGTTTGCGTGGGCGTTCTTCGGGTAGCGAGTAAAGGGCCCACAAACCATTTGTTTACAAATGGCTTTTGCGCCGTTTTCAAATGTTAGCACTGAAATAACCCTGAAATTAAAAATCGATGCATAATAAATAAAATGTCGCCCAATCCTATAGCCAAACACTGATGCCAAGCATGCCAAGGCGCCGAGTGCTTGCTGCATGCTAACATAAATCGCGTAAACACAAAACATAACAACAAACATAACCTCTCGAGTAAAAAGCAGCCGAACGTTTGCCGCAAGTTTTGCAATCTGAGTTTCCGACAATTTTTGGTGTTATTTCCCCGCATTTCGTGCTGCAAATATGTCCAACATTAACCTGAGTTCGATATCAAGTGCACTCGACGAAGCACCAACCAAAACGGGTGTTAGTTTTTTGGGAAAGGCCCTAAAATGGGAAACCGAAGCCGGAGGTAAGTTCGAATAGAATATTTTCCGCAACACCTGCCGCAGCTGTCAACTGCTAAGTTAATTAAATGTGAAAATTGTGTTTACCATTCTCAATTCCATTCAGCCAAGGAACTGATCGACGCCATCGAGACATGTGCCAGTCTGCAGTTCCTGAACCTGGAGGGAAACACGCTCGGTGTGGAGGCCGCCCGGGGAATTGCCAAAGCGCTGGAAAAACATCCGGAGTTGAGGGAAGCACTGTGGAAAGATCTGTTTACTGGCCGGATGAAAACGGAAATCCCAATGGCACTTAAGGTAATGGGTGAAGGAATGATCACGGCTGGCGCTCAACTGACGGTGCTGGACTGTTCAGACAACGCCTTGGGACCAAACGGGATGACCGGATTGGTTGACTTACTACAAAGTACGACCTGCTACACACTTCAGGTAGGTGGCATCAGGAGATCTGAACTGCAGTTTATTTGAATTATTATTTTTATACCACAGGAATTAAAACTGAATAACTGCGGCTTAGGTATCACGGGAGGGAAAATGTTATCCAAAGCGCTTTTGGCATGCCATCAGGCCAGTTATAAGCTAGGTAAACCCCTACCTTTGAAAGTGTTCATCGCCGGACGAAACAGGTTAGAAAATGATGGAGCCAAGGCACTGGCGGAGGTTTTCGGAGCCGTCAAGACCTTGGAGCACATCGAGATGCCTCAGAATGGAATCTATCATCCAGGAATTACGGCTCTATCGGAAGCATTCAAGCAGAATAAGAATTTGAGGGTGCTGAACTTGAATGATAACACCATTAGACCAAAAGGAGCTGCTGCCATCGCTGAAGCTATTTATGAACTTGAATATTTGAAGGAAATCAATTTCGGAGATTGTCTTTTGAAGACGAAAGGAGCTCTTCTCCTTGGGGAAGCCTTGCAGGAGGCTCACACGGACATAATGGTGCTGAATTTTGGTTTCAACGAAATTGGTCCAGAGGGCGGATACGCGATTGTGAATGCTACTTATAACAAAGATAACTTAACATCGTTGATTCTGGATGGAAATCAGTTTGGGTACGACTGCCGAGTACAGTTGAAGGATACTTTGGGTGAATACGGTCGATTGGATACCCTTGGTTCACTGGACGAAGATGATTCCGAAGGAGAAGAGGAGGAAGATGAGGACGAAGGAGAAGAAGACATTGAAGAGGAGGAAGAGGAAGAGGAGGTAGAGAATGCTGAAGGTGAAGATACGGAGGAAGAGGAAAGTGACGCTGGTGAGTCCTTCCAGAAGGAAGCGAAGGAATCCATCCAAATTTCTAAAATAACATCAACCGAGCCGGAAATTCGAAACTTGTTGGCAGAGAACAACAACGCTACAACGATAGACTTGGATCAATCCCTTCCCAACACGGTGGAAGCCTACTGTCAGACTCATTACCCATCTGAGACCATGTTCAACTCGCTGGAAGAGCCAAACAAGGCGGAAGCATTCCGAGAGTATTTCAGATCCCTGCCAGACGAAGACTATCTGGTATATTTAGCGTTCACCATTCTTAAACTGTCGGAAATTTCCGAGAAGAGCAAAGAAGCGCTGGAAGTTTCCGAGGCTCTTTTTGCCGATGCCTACGAGTATGCCAAAACCAACAACCGACTCAAGAGTTTGAGGAACTTCTTGCTCATCCAGCTGGGACTGCTGAAGTGCGAAGAAAGATCATTCAAACCCGGATACAATATGCAGGGGTGCCGTCATGCACTAAAAAATGCCATCACTAAGAACATCGTGCCCGAGGAGGAACAGGGTTTCTTCAAAGTGTTCTTGGAACATCGAGGTTGAGGTAAGAATGCGTTTTAATCATTATTCTGTATGAACATTTGAACTATTATATTATGATTAATAATTTAAAATAAAACAAAACACATTCAACGATCGGTGGTCCAGTAGTTTCTTCGAACATCCTATAATCAATTTCCGGACACATTTAAACAAACCGTTGACTGATAACTGAAGAATTCCCCATCAATCGGATCATATTCATGCCTCAGAGCAGGAACGTACTTTCTCTTGAAGTTTAAGTTGACTCGATATTGTTGACTAACTCTCCAGAAAGCCTTCCTTTTGAGCTCAAGCAGACATTCGCTGGAGCACCGAACTGGAACGTACTTCTGAACCAAATACATACTACTGACGAACGTAGATTTCCCCGCAGTATCGACAGAATATTCATTTGCGATTCGTTGAAGTGCACCGGATTCCGGTTCCATGTGACGACTGAAAATTACACCTTGATTAGACAAATAAATTCTCAGCATTGCAATGCCAATATTTATTAAAATTTTAATCTCACACTCTGACTTGATGTGATTCGAAAACATGAAGTTGTAGATCCTCCAATCCGGTTGGCTTATAGATGAAGGCTCCGACCAGGTACGGTCTTATGTTGGAATCCAGAGCATTGTTATTTCCATCGCGCGATAGTGAAGTAGGGCGCGTAGAAGATGGAACCCGGATTACCGGGACCGGTACGCTTAGACTTGACGTTGACGAAGCATAGCTGACCAGATGACGAAGACGGCGCCTTCGCTGTTCGTAGCTAGTTCGGAAACCGGCTACAGTGGAACGTTTGTTACCGCGAGTTGGAGTCATTGCCTGATGACAGTGTTGGACAGACAAAGCAGAACGAGTTTTGGAATTTCTTTTATGGAACGTTAAAGAATCAAAATGATACTGCTGTGGAACAATGCACTATTATGACCATGCCGTAGCTTTCATTTTAATATGTTTGTATGTGTAGTCGTAAATACAGCCGTTGCTTTCTTGAACCCTTACCTTCCAAATTACTTATTGTCAATAATAAACCAATCGCATGAGGATTCTACAGTGTATCCATAAAAAAAGTATATCCATTGCTGGTCAATAATTACTGCTGGTAATCGCAAGTCAGTCCCATCTGTATTATTATCAATTTTGAGTAAGCATCATTATTCAGTTTTCAACTACTGAACCGATCGGCTGAAAATTTGTATGCAGGGGTTTTCCAATACAAATGAAACAGAAAAATGTAGCATGCTTTTTTGAGTCGGCGCTTAAACTCAAGCTTATATTGAAAACCGAGCACGCCCGTGCACACTCAGCTAGTACACTATAAAACAACGGTCACAGATATGTTGTTATGATTGCTTCTATAGAATTAAAAATGTTAGACAACACATCGCATCATAAGATTTGTCTCAAGAAAGATTTTGTCCGCTTCCCCTAGGGTATCTGGAACATGTCCGGATGTGGTCAATATAGTTCTTACGAAACTCAGTATGATCGCCAATGGATATGGCTTTGAATTCTCGATTTGATGTATCGCATGATGGATTTTGATTTAAAAAGGATTTACCACTTCCCCGGGGATACCTGGAATATGTACGGTTGGCCACACTCTGGCCACTCATCATGCCTCTTATTGATATTATTTTTGAATCCTCATGTGAATTGATGTATCGTATGGTGGGCATGGCACATTTATGAAGAATGTCTGGTCTGAAGACTAATACTCATCGGAATATGTTCCGGCCATTACTCTGGAACCAGCGGAACAAATCCAGAAACATTCAATAACGTTCTATGGGATCATGGTATCTTTCTACTGTTCAATACCAATAGCAATAGCATCGTCATGGAATTGTGACTGACTTACGGTTATTTTTCTCATTGACGTTAAATGTAATCGCATGTCAGTCCCACTCAGATTTTGGCCATAAAATAAAAATTTCATAAAATATAAACTTTTATATTGGAATTGAAATTTGGAAATGCAGTACTTAATTGAAATGCAATATGCATTGCAATTGAAAACTGCAAAATGCGTGGCAATACTACGATCATGCTCGCTTCATGACAACGAAACAGGCGTGTTGTGTGACAGCATTAACACGCATTTTGGAGGTTTGGTATTATGACAGTTAACATAATTTTATGTCAAAGTTAACCTTGTTGAGAACTTGTAACAAATCAGTAAGTTTCAGAACCATCTTAAATCTTGCCGTCAATATTGATGATATATCTCTGTTGTTTATTTTCCAATTTGTTTTCAAATTATCAAGGAATTATCTTAACATTTTCCTTAAAACTATTTTGGAATACTCCTAATAGCCCGTTCACATTACATTGTCTTGCAATGAGCACTCATACATCTAGTTTTCACTGGAAATCCTATGTATGAGTGCTCATTGCAAGGCAGTCTATATTACGTGATATAGGCTGTAATGTGAACAAGGTATAAGAAGAATTAGAAGAAGTATTATTGTTCTTAAAAATTAAAACCTCAAATCAAATTGGTATTGCATGGTAATTCGTTTCAAAAATGCTATAGCATATAGGCCGCTTTTATTCTACAGAGTCTCATAATGTAAGGGTATTATATATTTTTAAATTAGTGAAGGTATAAGTAATAATTTTGTTATTTTCTTATTCCAAAACAATTTACAATTTGTAAATTAATGTATTTGACGCTTAAGCAATTTGGACTTTGCAGTGAGCGTGCCAGATATACCGATTTTCAAACTTGATACCGATATACAGATAAAATTTCTCAAAATACCGATTTTTGCGTTTTATTACCGATTTATACCGATTTTTTAAATCAATAATCAAAAAGATTATTGCCTGCCCGCATTGAATAATCAGAGGAAACTATTGCGAGAGACTTTTATCTTTTTTAAGGCCTGCTCTAAAAAAAATTCATCTTCAAAAATGCATTATTGACGAGTGCACGGATGGATTTGAGTTCACTCACTCGACAAAAAGTGACACAACAGCGGGGCCCTGTTTACTAAAAATGAACACATATGTGTTCATTTTTAGTAAACAGGGCCCCGCTGTTGTGTCACTTTTTGTCGAGTGAGTGAACTCAAATCCATCCGTGCACTCGTCAATGCTTGATACTCTTTCGACTAATGCTTCCATTTCCTCGCTGTTTTGGTTACCAAGAAGTCGGGAAACCGCTGATGGCGATTGTTGGCCTGAATCGAAAATACACTAGTGAATCGCCCCTCGGCTGATGGCTCATCTAAGTAATTTCTGGATTCAGTAGAAAAATAGGCCCATAAAAACGTTAATTTTTGAACTTCCTGAAATTTCTTTAATCTTCCCTTTGAAGTTTCTTCCAACTATCCCTATAGGAATTACCGTCCACCTTACCCCGTAAGTTATTTTCCGATTCCTTCAGAAAGCTATTTTTAATCTCGATTTCGACTTCCCTTGGAAGTCCCTTCTTCTGGTTTCGCTCGAAAGATTCTTCCGTCTCCTTCCGTCAGTTTTTTCAACTTCCCCGGAACTTCAGAAATGCTTCCTGAGTTTTTTTGCGGTTCCATTAGTTTCAGGAAAACTTCTAGAACTTTTCAGAAGTTCTGAAACAGAATAGTTCGGACTTTTGGGTAGGTTCCGATAAATTATAGACAGTTTGCCTATTTTGGAAATGTTCACAAGCCCAAAGAACTTCAAAGAAATTTAATGGTTTTCAGGAAGTTCCATTTGTTTCAGGAGAATTGAGATAACTTTAGGGAAGCTCTGAGAACATCAGGACATATAAATTCAAGAAAATTTGAAGGTTCAGAAATGAGTTCCGAGAAACTCAGGGAATTTCCGAAAACTTCAGTTAAGTTCCGAGAGGTTCATGAAAATTTTGGAAACGTAAGGGAAGTTACATGAACATTAGAAAATTGTGAAATCATCGGCAGTTTCGACAACTTTAAAAAAAATTAAGATATTGGGAAGATCAGAGATCTTTAATGCTGCTGTTCATTAATTAAAAAAAATTAAAGCGTTTATGAAGATCCAGGGACTTTTAAAGAAGATAAGAGATTTTCCGGTAGTTCCATAATAATTAGGGAAGTTCCGAGTACTTCGAGGATAATCAGAGAACTTCAAAACAGCCCATTAACTTTTTGAAAATTGCAAGAACTGAATTATGAGACATTCCGAAGGAATTTTCGAAAACTTCAGGGACATTGTGGGATTTTCAGGGATGTTTCATGAATATCAGGAAAATTGCTGATCAATAGAGCATGTGAGGAACTTCAGGAAATATTGTGCTAACATTCCCCAGAAATCTATTTCTGTCTGATATTTTCCCATCTTCTCCTTGAAGTATCTTTCGACTGTTCCGTAAGCCCTCTGGCGTCCGATTTTTTTCCAGAAGCTTCTTCCAATCTACCTTAGGAAGTTTATCCCATTGTCTCCTGGAAGTTTCTTCCGTCTTCTCTTGGAAGTTCAATTAAAGTTCTACCGGATGTATCTATCGAGTTCTCCCAGAAGTTTCTTTCTGCTTCCCCTGGAAGTTTCTCCATAAGTCACTCTACGTTGTTTTTTTTCGACTTATTGGAAGGTTTTCCCGAGCTTCTCCTAACTTCCCCTGGAAATGGCTCTTCAGGGATTGGTTTCCGATTTCCAAACTTTTCTGGCTTCTGGATTTTTTCGAAAGTTCCTAAAAAAATGTTGCCAGAAGTTTCTCAATATTTGGCTTGGAAGATCCTCATCGGATGTTTTTCGACATCTTTTAGAACTTCTTTCAAACTTCCTCCACGAGATCTTCTTTAGTCTTTCTCTGGAAGTTTTGGCATTACGATTAACAGACTAATTCAAATATTTCCCAAAAATTTCTGTTGACTTACATGGAAAATACGTCTTTCGATTTTAGTCCAAAAGCTTGAAACAAATAAAAATTAATAAAAATAGTGAATACCGATAAATAGCGATTTGTTAATCATTTGATACCGATAATCATGAAAATAATCCGGCAACGCTGTTGCAGTATGAATTGCTTTCAAAATCTTAATGAGAAGCTCCCCACTCCCCGGTCGGCATCTCATCAGCGGCAAAAACCTCGCTCCGCCACTCCTCGAAAGCCATTCGCAAATAACAACCTCCCTCTCAAGACTCTGTCCCATGCGCATCACCGAGTATTTAAAAAAAATCCAGATATCGACTCGTTTGTCCCCGGAATTATGTCCACTTCTGACCCAGAACACCTCCAATTCGTGATCGGCCATCATATCATCATCAACTTCATTCCTCAGTTGTCCCACAGCTGTCTACAGCAGCAGTCGATTTTTTATTTCGTTGTGAACCACACGATAGCCTGTTTTCGAGACTCGCTATTATATAGTTGCTCTTTGTTCGTTGCTAGCAGTTCGGTGCCTTTTGTTGCTACGGTGCAAGATGTGTGAAGTAAAAAACACCATCAAGTTTAGCTTCAGCCATTGTGATGCCAAACCAAACATCGGAGAGATAGTAAATTTCGCCAAAGCACTCGACGCGGATCCGGCTGAAATGGAAGCTGTTTATCGCATTGGTGAGGAAAGGGGAGTCTTCATGAAGTTCAAATCATTGGAAGCGATGCTCCATGCTCTGACATTCAATTCGGAGGATTTAATCTTCCATTATGCGAATGGAACGACGGCAAAGGTACGCATGTCGGATGCTGGTGAATTCATTCAATATGTGCGTGTGTATGACTTGCCACCAGAGGTACCCGACAACGAGCTGGATAAAGTGCTGGGGAAATATGGGAAAATTAAACGCATCATCCGGGAGAAATTTCCAACTGATCTGTGTTTTGAGGTATATACAGGGATACGCGGTGTATATATGGATGTGAAGAAGGAAATCCCCACGTCATTACATTTCTTCAATCGCAAAGGAAATATTTTTTATGATGGCAACAAAGATAAATGTTTTCTGTGCAAGGCGGACGGACACCGGAAGCTTTCCTGTCCCAAGCGGAAGACTCGGAAGGAACCGGAGAAGCAACTGAAGGAAAAAGGAAAGCAAAGTGAAAGAAAACAAAACAGCAGCAGTACGTATGCTGGTGTAGTGGTGGAAGGTGCGTCGTTTGTCATTAGCGATCAGGAAACGGACACGGGGTTGGAGATGTTGAATGAAGATAACGAAATGGACGTGACTACCCCGACGACCGACGAGAGTAGCGGAGAGCATGCAACAGGAAACGATGTTCAGAAACAGCAGCAGCGATCACGATTCGGGTTCAATGAAAATGAGGAACAAATTCGGGAAAGAAAGAAGTTGCGTGCACGGGAGAAGATCGCTTTGTCGCCGCTTCGATCATATGATAAAATATATTTGTACATATTTTTTTTTTGTATTTTGAGTACCATAATTGGTATTCTATGTTACTCGGCTCCGCTAAGTTATTTTTATAACATTTGAGCCTGCCAAATAAACGAAATGAAAAAAAAAAAAAAAACTTCCTTCCTCCTTTTAGTAAATATGTCTTAATATTCATGCACAGGCAAACAGACATAACACATTGAATATTTCTCACTGTAAAACTTCGTCGCTAAAACATTACCACCATCTGTTGAGTACACTGTGGTGGGTAGTACGCTGAAAGATGGCGGTAGCGTGTAAACGTCAAACGCAAGGGAATTGACTATGCGTGCCACAGGTGGCGGTACTACCATAGAGGTAACTACCAACTACGATCCTTTTAAATTGTCCGTTAAATGCTTGTTCGATGAACAACCTACGAGTGTTATATCTGTTTGTCTATAAGTATAGATACTATAGATTCCATAGATAAGCGGAGGCACAAAAAAGTTGTTTTGCAACCATGAAAAATAAATGATCTTACTAGCATCCGTGAAAAAAGTTCATGCCATCATAGAGCTCTTCGTTGTGCAGTTTTGTTTTGTTTCTTGCGTAAAAGTTCAAAATGAAGTGCCAAGTAAATCTTTGCAACAATGTTTCGAGGAATGGTTTGCTTTATCTTTACTTCTTCCGTTGCGAAATAAATCGGAATGTGGAGTGTGGAAAGCGTTTTGTGCTCATAATATTACAATACTTCTCCCTCAAACAACACCATGATGACGTCATGCTCGTTTGGCTACACTAACTGACAGTTCGTTTGGCTACATTAATACTTTGCCTCCGCTTATAATCCCGCATAACAGTCCCATATGGATAGGAAATCAAGCAACAATGGGACTGATATGCGATTATGTGCAGTATAATGTGATTTATGTATACATTATATGCGCACATTATAAGCAATATACTACCAATAATCGCATAACAGTCCCATATGGATAGAAAATCAAGCAACAATAGGACTGATATGCGATTATGTGCCGTATGTATAAGTGTTAATCTATGTTCTCGTCTATGTTATAAGTGCGACAAAAAGTGCGGAAACGCTTATAAAAGTACGTTACGTTATACCGTTATACCCTGGACAGACTATGGCTTATATCATGTAATATAGGCGAGCACTCATACATAGGATTTCCAGTGAAAACTAGATGTATGAGTGCTCATTGCAAGCTAGCCTATATTACATGATATAAGCCATAGTCTGTCCGGGGTATTAAATCTCTTTATACCCCGTTCACATTACAGCCTATATCACGTCGTTTATGTTATAAGCACAGACAAACAGACATAACACATTGAATAATTCTCACTGTAAAACATGGTCGCAAAAACATTACCGCCATCCGTTGAGCACACTGTGCTGGGTAGTACCAACAATCAATACGAAACTAACGATTTTATATTGGCTCACCACTTTAGTAGCCTATTGGTCCCAAGCAAACGATTAACGTACCCTATTCTAGTTGAAATTCTATTACTACACTATGTTTGTTTTGATTCGCTATGAAAGTTTGACAGATAACATCAGGGGTGTGTGGATTCATGCAGAACATGTAGGGGTGAGTGAAATAGCTTGGGACTGCTTGGGACCGTTGTTCTGGTACTGAGTGAGCCAAAAATAATAATGATTTTCTTCGGGACCCAGTGGTCTTAGAGTTACCTCTATGGTAGTACGGTAGTACGCTGAACAGATGGCGGTAGTGTGTAAACGTCATACGCAAGGGAATTGACTATGCGCGCCGCAGGTGGCGATACGATACTTTTATATTGTCCGTTAAATGCTTGTTCGATGAACAACTTGCGAGTGTTATGTCTGTTTGTCTGTGTTATAAGTGCGACAAAAAGTGCGGAAACGCTTATAAAAGTACGTTACGTTAAATCCCTATAGTGTCTTCAGCGCCGTCACCAGAGATTTGTATGCCTCAGAAAAATCCCACCGACCTCGGTTGGGATTGAACCCATACCCTGTTTGTTCTAGAAGTTCAGTTTTTTTATATTGTCTTTATATAACAACCACCTTTTTAACTATAAATTTTTCAAATATACTATGATTTTCATTGTTGTGAACCATGAATTTCGTAGTGTTTTTATGGTAATCGACAAAAATGTCCAATGTTTTGACAATAAATATCATGGTTACAATGACAATGAAAATCATTGCATTTTTATTAGATTTTTTTTTACGGGCAAGCACATGAATTCAGGAAAAAAAAAAGTCTGGCAACACTGCTCTCAAATAGAGCGCCGGAAGGTCGACGTTCGGCAAATCGACATGCAGGCGCAGCATAAAGTATGTCGAATTGCAACATAGTTTTTGACAGTTTTGTCTGTGCACCAGAGCGGGACAACAAGCCCCTAGGATTACCGCGCGTCCAAGAGGAAACGAAAGAACAGATGTTTCGATGCGTTTCCTTCACTCTTGAGCACGAAGGAAATGAGAACGAAAAACGACGACAGGGCACGGAATTTCACTCGACGGCGAATGAAAGGAAAACTACGGAGTGCAAATCGGGGAAAAATATGTTTGTCGAAAATATACAATAATTTTCGCGGTCAACGTGAATAATACCATAACTATACAGTGCTTGAGTGAAGTGATTCTGTGAAAGTGTTATATTGGTGGTGAAAGTTTGCAGCTGGGTGGTATTTGCATAGCAAAAAATCAACCCTCGAAAACATTCACTCTCCTGTCGAGAAAAGTGTGTATTGGGGCTACGCTGCTGCCTAACACGAACGTAGCTCGTCTCAGTGCAAGCTGCGCCACTGTTTCTAGACACGATACCTTCGCTTGGCCTTGATTTTGGTGCGAATGGGACCAATAAGTTGGCGTAGCAATGAGCCATCGGAACAACGATAATAACGGTCCGTGGAACAATCGGAACTCACGTAACAATAATAATGATGGTGGGGATGGAGTAGGAAGGGGAGGTGGTGGCGGAGGTAACTACAAGGATCGCAACTGGGGGGGAAATAATCGCTACGGACCGGATAACAGATACAACAACAAGGAACGTCGGAACTATCGTGGCTATGGTGGTGGGGGCAGGAGAAACTATGATGGACGACCCTATCGGAACAATACATGGATCAACAATGGTATGCAGGATGGAAACTATACTCGGTATCAAAACAACTGGCACCAGAAGCATCCCGGAAATAAGCTCGGAGTTCTCGGTACCGAGTCAGACGCGATGCAACAGCAGATTCCCCCGTTGATGATTAATTTCGACGTGGAATCAGGGGATCAGCAGCAGCGAGTGGAGGTGGTATCATCTGGAAACGCCGCCGGTGGTGCTGACCGCGACTCGGCGAATGGGTCCAGCATGGATAAAGAAACAGAAAGGTATACAGTTGAATTGAGGGTGTTCTGAATGTGAAAGTTGATTATTACAAATCTTATAACAGCAGTAACAAGTCTTGGATGAATGACGATTTTGGCAGCCCTGGGGATGGATTCCAAGGTTTTGCGGATGTGGACTTTGTGAAGACATCGAACGGTGGCAGTAGTAATGATTGTATGAACTTTGCTTCAAAGGTAAGTTGTGCGTTTTACGTTATAGAAGTATTCCTTTAATAAACCGATGTTCGGTTTCAGCTTTCTTCCGAAAAGGATGACAAAAGTGACATAAGTCTTCAGGAGAACGAACTCAGTAAATTGATTGTGGACGAAGCGATGAAGATAATTTCGGACGCCGAGCAACCTTCTTGTTCCAGTGCATCTCAAAGCAATCCATCGGATGCCAGTGCTCCGACGGCAGCATCCACTGCAAGCAATCCCAACCCAGAACGCCGAGCGTCAATTGAACGAAGTGCCGAGCAAGTGACTCGTAAACTTATCAACCAGCTAACCTCGATGAACAAACACAGCCTGAAGCAAGTGATCAACAATCCGGACAGCAAATATGAGACGGCGCTGAAGACCCATGCTCGTCAGAAACTTCGGGCCGAAGTGCGACGTCAATTGAGAAATTTTAACCTGAACGAGAGCACTGCTCAGCCGAAAACTGCCTGCAGTATGTTGGAACCGGACGAAAGTGTCGATTCGGATAAAATTCCGGACGCCTTGTTGGAGCAAATAGGGAAAGTACTAGATCTGAACCTTTTGGACTTAAATGTGACGGAAGAACCGGTGCCGGTGCCTACGGTGGGAGAAGAAGACGAATGCGTGACCAATCCCAGTGATGCAGACTATTCCGCGACGGAAGTGTTGGACAAGAATCTTCGTCTAACGGACGAAGATGGTCAGTTCGATACGGATGATCTGTTTGCTCGAGCCGAACAACTGTTGATGAAAGGAAGTGAATCCGTCCGCAAGGGAAATTCTTCAGGTCCCAGTTCTCCCACGGATGAAATGTTTCCCAATGAGCAAATCGATTCGATTGTTAGTGAGGACAACGGAATGGATCTGAACGAATCCGAATCTGATCAAATTGAGCGAATGCTGGATGAACCATTACATGCTGCATTCCCTTGCTTTTTGAGAGTCAGTACCGTAGAAGAGTTGAATAAAAAGGTAGACACTCTACCTGTTCCGATGGAAGAAAGTGAAAGCTGTACTGTGGAAACGGCGGTTCCTTTGCTACCTCCACCAGAGTTGATGGATGATTCTTCAATTTCTAATCTTCCTGGTGATGATGTTCAGGTCCCACTGGCCCCTGTATCGCCCGAGGAGCAATGTACTCCATCATTTGAGATTACTGCCGAAACTGATTTTATAAGTTTGGTAGAAGATAGTTCTTTGCCATCAAAAGAAGAGCCTGTACAGGACCAACCTGAAAAGGCTATAGATTTAGAAGCAATACCAGTCACAGTTCCGGATGAATCAGTTGAAGAACTGACCAAACAAGAGAGTATTCCCATCGCATCTCCATCTAAGAATCCAACTTCCGAACCTTCTCCTGGAACGATCCGAGCTCCAACGCACCCCGAACTCGCCACACGTAAGTCGAAGGGCTCTAAGACGTACAAGCCCAATCTCGTGCAGCACGAACACTCCAAGCGGGATAGCAGCAGTAAATCTTCTTCAGCTTCTCCATCGCAAACTGCTTCCTCATCCAGCCATGTATCTTCGGTAGCGAATTCCAAGGCGGCTTCTAAATCTGGCACCGCAACGAATCTCAACAACGTTTCCAAACAGACAAAATACCAAAACAACAACAACAACAACAATCCCACTAGTAATAATAATAACAGCAATAGCAGCAACACTAGAGGAAGGAGTCGAGGAAGACGAGATACTGCCGGTAGTAATGGTTCTAAAGATAATACCGTGCAACCGAATGGTACCAGTGCTAGCAGTGAAAATCATATTAAGAATAGCAATAATGGATCCCTACCGACTTTAGCAGCAGCAGTAGCAATCACCGGAAACGATTCCCGTCCACCATCGCAACAGCCGGTGGAACAATCAGCTCAGAGATCAATCCGATCAAAGACACCCGGTCCGTCTCTGGCTGGTGGGCCTCAGGATCATTCGTCCCCGCTCGGGGTAAAGAAGAAGAAGAAACGCAACAGACGGAAAGATCGTTCGCCACCGCCGGACAGTGGCATGATGCTGGAGTGTGACCTGCGAGTCTCGAGACCCGCGGTGACGCCCACTCCGCCCCCAGTGCAAACGCGGTAAGTGCTTGTGATCGAATTTATAGTTATGCAGTTGTAGAATCAGTGAAATTTGGCCACCCTTCGCTTTATGTTATTTACGCTGAAGGGACATGTCACGGATGGTTTGAATTAATCTGTGCTTTTCTTTACTTTCAGTGACACACCTCAAATCAAGAAGAGTACCGAACCGGATCGCAGTAGTTCGACGAAACCTTCGCGGGAAATGCGAGCCAAATCAGCCGATCCGAAGCTGTACTACGAGTCGAAAAAGGATCGCGACCGTAATAGGGACAGGGGACGGAACCGAGATGAGGACAAGAAGAGTAAGAGCAAAGAGGACAAGAAGGACCAGGAGAGGGAGGATAGAAAAGAAGTTCGAAGGGAAAAGGAAGGAGAAGCGGCGAATGGAAGTGCTTCCAGCGTGGTGGAAGTGAGCAAAACGGAGCTCTCTGTTTCAAAGCCGGATCATCGTAGTGAACGTAAGAAATCCCCAGTACCTAAGCCAGCAGTAAAATTGCCTGTGGATACTCCAAAGCATTCCAAGGAGAGCAAAGATGAACCCAAAGAGATTCCCAAGGAAACTGTCCAAGAAAGGGAAAAGGAAACGCCAAAACAGATTGCAAAAGAGTGCACCAGGGAAGCAACTAAGGAGCCGAAGGTGAAGGAAAAAGAGGACAAAGATGTACCTAAAGACAACGGACCAAAACACGTTCCAGATTGCAAGGAGGAATCCGATGGACTGGGAGATTTACCAAAAGAAAAAGATTTATCGGATGTTCCCGATGGGCCAAGCAAACCAGCAAAACCACACAAGAAAAAGAAGAGTCTACTAAGAGGTCCCAACTTGATCAAAGGTCGACGCGAGGTGGTAGAACAGTCTGAACCGCAAGTTCAGTCGCAGCAGAAAGATAGCGATGAAGTGGAAATTTTGGAAATCCCACCACCACCGTCCGAATCCAACGAACCAGTTACTACGCCATCGCATTCTTATACCAGACAGCGAGAAGCTCCTGTCGTTGCCTTGACGCAATCTGCCCCAACACTGACAGTTCCGATAGAGCATCATACTCTAATGGCAACGTCGGCTGCTTCCCTAATCCAAAGGACTGCCTCACCTCGGCCATGGAAATCACCCGGCGAAAAGAAACTGATCCCACCATCGATAACGGCCATCATCACGCATCCTATGTCCCCACCGCCGGTAGAACGAGCTAGAAAGATCCCAACGCCAACACCATCTTCACCAGTGATGTCACCGGAACCTCCGCAACGTATCCACCTCGTAGCATCACCCATCATAATGTCCCAACCGGAAGTGCTAACCGGAAGAATGTCTCTGCAATCGACTCTTGCTCCCCTAGCAACAGCTACGGCAGCGCCTCAGATAAATACCTTCGCCCCGGTTATGGTACTGCTAAACCAGATGCAAGATATCGACAGTAAGATGAGCGAGTTCCAACGCCGCAAAATGCAAATCGATAGCGAAATGATGCGGCTCAACTCGGAAAAGTTCCAGATCGATCAGAGTTCCATGCAGTTGCAGAACGAAAGGTTCATGCTGTTGAACAGCCTGCGAGCTGCTTTGGTGGAATGTGAGCTAACTACGTTGGCTTCAATGCAGAGTGTTTCGCACATGCCGGCAGCAACTACCAGCCCTACAGTTAGTCATCGTCGTCGAAATCCCGAACCTGAACTAGAAACAGCTCCAAAAAGTAAACGGCGGAAAGAAGCTCTGGAAGTTATCAGCCGACCGGTGTCAACAGTCGTATCATCATTGTCCACGGACCTATCGGAATCAGAAGAACCGGCTACCCCGGTTACCGGAGGCGAGCGAACCATTCGTAGAATTACCAAAATCAGTGGGAATACGGAAATTTTGAAGCTGTTCCAAAGAAGACGTCTCATCTCGGATCGATCCGCCGAAGAAAGTCAGTCGGAAGATAATAGTACTCCTCAAGTAGTATCCACCCCCACAGCGGCGACTGCAGCAACGGTTTCGGTGTCAGCATCGGTCGAAAGACCTACTCCCGCCAAACGGCGAAGAACCCGCACGTACGGTGGCAGTGTTGGTGGAGGCGATCAAAACGAATCCTCCATCACCGGCGCTCGGCTACGAAGTGATTCAACGAAGTCTGTGGAGTCAGTGAAAGCGATTGAAACAAGTGATCACCCAACCGGTCCGACAGCCGGAATGACGTCCCGGTTCAAGAAAGACGAAGAGATTCCTTTAGTGGTAGCCCATCGTAGGCTTTTGCCTCGGGAGGTTAAAGTGGTACTCAATAAGCTCAACGTGGCCGCAAAGCGAGGTTGCGATGGAACTTGATTGTTGAGCCGAACCAAGCGTTCTGTAGGCAAGCCGGCTGCACATTTTACTTTGTAGGTCTCTCAAATACTTAATCCTATAATCTTTTATTTAAAATCTCTTAGTTGAGCCATCGTTACGTACCAGTAGATGTGTAACAAGATTTAGCATCTAATCTTGTCCTTTTGCAATGGACATGCAAAAAAAGAACAAATGCCTTGAAATATTGATATCGTGAGCTCTAGACATATTTTCTTCTCCTTATTTAGTTGTTTATTTTTTCTTTAACAAACTATCCACCTTAATTGTAAATAGACTGAGCTGTGTTCGAAAGCAGGATGTATCCTCAGCAGCAACGAGTAGGAAGCATTCGAAATTGTACGTAGCAATGTAGTAGCAATCAACAAACAGATTGTATGAATATTAACATGTTAAGGGAGTAAATTGCATATTTAAGTATGGAGAAACTAACATGTATTTAATGATCATCACCTGTAGCACCTTACCGTACATCGTATACCGTACACCTCCATCATCTATCTGCCGTTGAAAGCCGATAAAGTTTGCGGAGAAGGCGATACTTGCCATCAAGGTGAGATGAACAATGTATGAATGGTTATATTAGTAAAAGAGTAAGGAATTCAGAGCAAAGAAATCACAGGAAGCAGCCGGAGAAAAAATAAGGATTTATATAAGTCGGAATTTGGGCTGAAGTAAAAAAAAAAAACAAATTTTGTCAATGTCAATGTGGTAGCTTTATTTTTGTGGCAGCATAATATCACGGTATAGTTTAGGTAGGGCTGGTAATATGCGGTTGTGCAGCGGTACAAGCGAGATCCCAATAAGGGGAATCGCTGCAGAAACCTTACGTCTGATCAATCTGATTAGGGTTTTTTTTTTTTTTTTTTTTTCCTCTGTGCGGGACATAAAACCACTGCGACCAGTAATTTAATCTATTGTAGTATATCCCGTGTCCTTAGTTTAGTGCATGTCGTATTACTCCATCACTATTGAGAAATGATGAAGTATTCGGTTTTGATACAGTTGTCATTCTTGCCTTTATCGCAAGGAATCGATTCTAATTGAAAGGTCCCGCTATTTATACCCTTCGGAGTGTTGAAATAGGAAGGCGCGCCCCTTTGTCAGTCAAAATTTGATTCCTTAGAAAAAAAAAAAAAAAAACAAGACATGACACCGATAATGACCATGCATCAGAACCCTATAGTCTTAACCACTTCAAACTAGGAAACAACGAATAGAAGATTAGGAATCACATAGGTGAAGACTAACTAACTGATTTTTTCCTTGTTTCAAGATCATCCTCGGTCCACGCAACCCGAGGACTTATCACTATCAACAAGGCATAAAAAGTAACAAGGACTAAGATGTGTTCCTTTGATTACTGTAAAATCCTGTTCCCCTAGTTTGAAGTAGTCAAGACTAGGAATCGGTGGTAGATCTTACATCCCGTAACGTACCACGAAAAGGTGATCTACCCACGTTACGGGGCATCTGATTAGGGTTGATGCATATATTATGTCACGCTCTAAGGGGGGGAGGGGGGGTCTAAGATTTTGTGACAAGCAATGCATTAGGTATAAGAAAAACGTCACGATAGGGGAGAGGGGGTAATTTTTTGCTCGATTTAGCGTGACATAATTAATGCATGGGCCCTTATCACCTTGATATTTCAAGAGCATAAATATCAGCTCTCACATGGGGTAAGATGGCCATATGGAACAAGACGAGCATCGTCTCTAAACCGCAACTTTTGACAGTTATTTTGGAATAAAAAAGTAAGAGGTTGTATCCAAGACACGACCGTAGGTTTGACGTAGGATTACGTGCTCGGTATCAATATTCGGCGACTGTGTTAGGGTAACCACTTTTTCCCATCAACAACAATAATTTACGGTGGTCCCGTACGGTAACCGTTTTGTCGTGATGGTTGAGTAATGCTGAGCTGAGGCTGGCAAGCTATATGTTGTTTGGAACGAGGGTGACGCGCTTGGCATAGATGGCTCACAACGGCTCACGACGAGCAACTGAATCCGATCAGTAGCGATGCGGCATCTTCCTTCTTCTTCGGTGAATGGACGATCATGTGGGCTGCAGCTTGCGGGCAGCCTTTCGTTTTGTACAGGAGAACAATGTTTGTTCCGTCTCCACCGAAAGTCAACTGATACGAACACCACCAACAAGCAGCGAAGAATGAGACCATCAATAGGCTACAACATCCACCAATCAGCGACATCAACGCTCGCCGCTTTCAAAGAGGCATGCATCACCGTGCAAAACAAGTGACGAGATGTGTGTTCGACAAGTTCCTGTGAGGGGTAAGTTTGTTGCCATTGATTACCACACACAATTACTGATTCGCTTGAGAAATGTACGTAGACACCAGTTTCAGAGGACTGGTGATCTGGTTAAAAACGTGCAATGGTCGATCTAAATAGGTAGATTGCTTCCAGAATGGACGCAGTCCGAAATGGAAGTTTCGGGCGTGTTGTTCAGAATCTGGATAACCGCTCCCGTCGATTCTGGAAGGTAGCCAAGGTGCTGAAAACTCATCCCAAACCCGTTCCACCTTTCAGAGTCGGAAATGATGACGATCGGCTTTTAATCACCCCACAGAAGAAAGCAAATGCGATCGGCAAGCATGTCGCTTCATCGCATTTGCTTGGTTCGACTATCCAAAGTCCGCTCGAAAATCAGGTGACGCAATGCGTCCAAAATGTAGATTACTCCCCTTGTGCCGTGCCTTCGGACGATAGAATTACGGTAGAACAGGGTAGGCCCCTGGTTTTTGACGGTGTATTTAACCTAATCATAAAAAGGCTTAGCATGAAAGTCTATGCAGTTTTAACTGCAATCTTCAACCGATGCTTGGGCACTACTTTAAAAATAATACCGATCCGCAAACCCGGTAAAGATCCAGCATTGCCGTCAAGCTATAGACCGATCAGCCTCCTCTCAGCGCTGAGCAAATTGTTTGAGAAACTCATTATCAATAGATTGCCCAAGTTTGTGGAGGAAAACAATATTCTTCTACCGGAACAGTTTGGGTTCAGGAAGGGGGACTCCATCAGCCAGTACGGGTGATGAAGAACATCCGAAGTAACAAGGTTTTTGTTTATTTGTTTATTTGTTATGGTTGCATCAACAGACTAGAAATAGTCCCAATGATGTGTTGTAAAAAAAGTACAGATTATACAGACGACATACATATACTACAGTTGCAAACGAAAATAACTTGGAAAGCATTGTCAAGTTACTAAAAATTAAATTTTACACTTAGCTGTTGGGTATCAAGCGCCTTCGGTCAGCAAAAAAGGCAGAGAATCTTCGGCGAAGCATATTCCGTGTCAAGTGGAAATCGACCATCGACGCTACTCGGTTGAACACTAGCTGCAAGCCGTAAATAGCGCTCCCTATGCTATAATTAGTTCGAAGAAGTGGAAGTCTCAGCATAAGACTGTTGCGTAGTGATCGAGGTTGAACATTAATGTTCACTTGTTGCAGAATTGCTTCGCAGTCGATTCTTCCTTGCAGAGTATCGGCGACGGTTAAGGCTCTGAAAACATCTCTTCGGATACGTAAGGGCTCGATATTGATCAATTGGCAGCGATTCTCGTAGCTTGGAAGACGAAGTGGGTATCTCCAAGGCAGCTTACGGAGCGCGAAGCGAAGAAAACGTCGTTGAACAGATTCAATTCGCTCGGCCCCATTATTGTAGTTCGGGCTCCAGACAGCAGAGCAATATTCCAACGTAGATCGTACGAGAGAGCAATAGAGCGATTTCAAGCAGTAAATGTCCGTGAAGTTCTTAGTAATCTTGAAGACAAAGCCAAGCGTTCTTGACGCTTTGTCGACGACATACGATATATGGTGTGAGTATGTCAGCTTTGAGTCTAGAAAAACGCCTAAGTCTTTCACGCAGTGCACCCGTTCGATAGTCGTGCCTAGTAGTTTGTAGTTGAAAATAATCGGTTGTTTCTTGCGTGAGAAAGTAATAACTGTACACTTAGCTGGGTTGACCACGAGTCGGTTTAGACTACACCAGTCAGCAAAGATGTCAATCTGATTTTGGAGAGAACGGCAGTCGGCGAGTGAGCGGATGCGCAGAAAAACTTTCAGATCGTCTGCAAACGATAATCGTGGCTCTGTGATAACATGGTGAACGTCGTCGAAGTAGAGGAGAAATACCAATGGTCCCAGATGGCTGCCCTGAGGTATACCGGACTTTGCGCAGAAGCTAGCTGAGCGACAAGTACCCAAAGTTACTGTCAATTGGCGCTCCGTGAGGTATGAACGAAACCATCTCAAAAGATTTCCACCGATCCAAGGTTGTATCCAAGTCAACAGCCATGGCCTTGCTAGACGTCGAAAAGGCGTTTGACAATGTCTGGCATGACGGACTTATATACAAGCTTTCTAACTTCAATTACCCGTTGCATTTCGTTAAAATTACTCGTAACTACCTTCAGCGAAGGTCGTTCGAGGTATCGTTGAATGGTTGTCTGTCAGACAAATTTTTCATCCCGGCAGGCATTCCGCAAGGCAGTTTGTTGGGCTTCTTGCTCTACAGCTTGTATACTTCCAAATTCCTCCCCTCGGAGACGTGTTCTTCCTGTTCGCAGATGATATCAGTCAAGGGCAGAATGCCTCGCGAAATTACAAACAAACTACAACGATGCCTTGACACCTTTACTGACTATGCAAAAACTTGGAAAATCAAAATCAATGCCTCCTAAACCCAAACTATCATTTTCCTGCATAGGCAATCGCCCAAACTGATACCGGCACCTTCTTGCACAGTAGTCATGGACGGCACAAGGCTTGAGTGGTCTGCTGAAGTTTCGTACCTTGGAATTGTATTCGATGAGAAGCTCCTGTTCCGCTCCCATTTCGAAAAGACGTTAGTTAAGTGTTCAAGCTTAGTTAGATGTTTGTATCCGCTCATTTCTCGCAGATCCCGTCTCTCTAGGGTTAACATATTGGCTGTCTACAATCAAATCATAGCACCTGCAATTCGGTGTGGGAATCAAGTGCTCAAACTCACAGGAGCAAAGTCCAAGTGGCACGAAACAGAGTGCTTAGGATGATCCTCGATCGTCCTTTCGACACTAGAGTAACAAATTTACACGAAGAGGCAGGCAGTCCCAAAATAGATTCCAGATTTAAAGAAATTAAGACTAAATTTGCCAAGGGGTAGGTCACTCCACACACCAATCTTGGGTCATCTTTTTGCCAGTTTGCCGCAGGTGTGCCGATTGTGCCGGTCATAGAGCAAGCTGCGATCGTTTGTAAAATATCCAACCCGGCAACCCGGTATTTCTGACACCTTGAATGTTTTGGTTTGAAATCGCAAGGATAAATCGGATTGAGGATGACACAGGAAGTTGGGGGTGTGCGAAATTTCGGTGTTTTGTGTTAATAGGATAATAAAAGTCCTGTGTTTTAGGGTTTTATAATGCCATCAAAGGCAGACCAGAAACCTAGCCTTTCGTGATGTGAAAAGCAACGGTCTATCAGCAACCGGAAAGAGTTGGAACCGGTGGGGAACATTGTTGGAGACCGACTGTGGAGGATGATGAATAGACTTCTGTAGTTTGTTTTTTGTGAGTTGCAGCATTATTTCAATTAAGGGTACTAATGGGGTCTGATTAACTGCCTCTTTCTCTTGAGCCCACT